TATCTTTTTGGGGACTCTTCATTAATCCCAACATGACTACCTTAACACCTACCCATCCCTAACCTTAACCATAAGTAACCAAACTAAATATGAAACTTTGGGCATTTTTACTTTTTTAATTGCATTCACATATCTTTGTGAGGACCTGAAAAATGGTCCCCACAATGTCAAAATAACTGTTTTTTATTACATTGTGGAGGCCATTTAGTCCCCAGAATTTAATATAAACCTAATCCACACACACACACTCTCATTGATTTCAATGGGCAAAACTCTAATCCCAACATGACGACCGTAACCCTTACCCAGTCATAAACTTAACCATAAATAACCAGAGGTGGCAATTTCAGGTCCAGAAAGTAAAAATCCAGGGCATGATTTACTTTCAACCAACCAGTTGAGCATAAAGAGTCACAGTCACAGAGTACTCAACTGGTTGGTCGAAGCAAAATCTTGGTCTGGACCTGAAATTTGTACCTCTGTAAATAACAAAATACAGGAGTTTTTACTTTTTTAGTTTTTTGATTATAGCTATGGATTTTTAGAAAATTCAGTTTTCTGGTCCCCATAAGGTAAAAAAAAAATATGGGTATTCATCATATTGTGGGGACCCACAATGCAAGGTATATCTGGACCACACACACATACACACACACACACACAACATATACAGTATGTGTGAGTCTCTGTATGTGTGTGTGTGTGTATTTATGTGTGTGGGTGTGTTTCTCTTTATGTGTGTGTGTGTGTGTGTGTCTATATAAAGCTATATAAATAGGTTAATCATAATAACACACCACAGGACTATTTTGAAAGGTGGGTGTGCCCTTAGGTAAATATCTTGCTCTACACCAACAGCCTCCAGGTGACACTGATTGGATACGGAGCCATTTTATCTTCCAGCAGCCATTTTACTACCCAGCACAACAATGGAAATAGCCAGAACGATGCTCATTACAGCTATAGAAAGTAGTGTAAATTTATTTAAAATGCACCAAAGCTGCATTTCTTACCTTAAAACTCTGAGAAATGTTAACATACTTAATATCCATTTAAAACTTTCACTGTAGACGCTTAGTCATTGAAAGTTGATGCACATTCTGAGAACTGACATTTTTTCCATGTACTTTTGATAAGTGCAATTTTCACTCTACATTGATGTATCTGATAAAAGCAAAGTTTTACATGCACCAACATCTAGGTGTAAGTGCACCATTGTCATGCAACACCTGTCAAAACATATTTTCAAATGCACAAAAAGTTAATACAGCTTCTGTCTTTGAGGTCTGCTAGTTCTACACTAATCATTTTTCACCTTTATTATGCAAGAGTAGAACGTTCCCCCGCTAATTTCCTTGGGGTGGAACAATGGGAAAACATACTTGCAATTCAAATTGAATAAAACTTCTTGTCTTTGGTTAACTGTCTTTTATCCTCGGTACACTTTGCAGCTGTCGTCTGTCTCGCTGGAGGCTGATTCCTTTATATGCCTGTCACTTTGCGTTGTTTTCTTCGTTTGGATTTTTTCAGAATATGAGCACTGCAGGAGATGACTTACAGAGGGCATTTTCATCAACTCATGCATGTAGTTTTCATAGTACTAACCAGTATGACAAATAATAAATAAAAGACGAATCAAAAACTGTCGCATTTAGCTAGTGTGTGTGCATGCATGTATGTGTGCGTATATATATATATATGTGTGTGTAATTTATGAGACAGTGTACAGTGTGACCCGTAGCTAAATACGCATTTGCACATACTTATTCTCGATTATCTTTTTTGTCTTCTGAAGGCTTATTGCCGTCTTGATTTTCAAATGCCATGTGTAGTTTTAACTGGTGTATAATCATTCCATGCGTTACGCACACATCAAAGGCGTGGAGGACTAAGCGACCTCGCAAAGACGACGCACAATTTGTACGCCCCTGATACCAGCTCACTACTGGTGACCTCTGAACAGATGTTCCTTGTAATAATCTGTAGTTGAGAGAAGCTTGCATGCCAGGTGGGTGAACTGGGGTCCATTCTGAAATCATTTTCCCCATAAAACAAAAGAAGCACTGAGGTATCGCCTTTCATAGACGCGGAGAACTGGGAGTGAGGTGGGGAGGGGGCACAAGGGGAGGGGGGGGGGGCTGGCTGACTTCTTCATACAATTAGGTCTTTAAGGCAAACGGGGGCAGAGCTCAGCATCTCAGCATGGCTGTTTAGACGGAGAAATGTCGCAACAAAGCAGTTTGGAGGTAAAACGAGAGTGATGTGCAGATATAACACTCTGTAAAACTATCTGTTTGTACGGCGCTGGGGAAGGCGGCCAGTCCTCCGGTGGAGTGGAGACTGGAGCCATGGGCTGAATCCCCGCACAAGGACACAGCTCCTGTTACGGCCTGTTAATGGAGGGGGGCTGTTTTAGTGGCATTGATTGACTGCTTTCTTCCTCTGAACGAGCAAGTTCTCATATCTGGGAGAAAATGGATCATAAGCACTCAGACGAGAGCTGGAGGATGATCATAAACTGGAGTGTGTCGGTAAGGTGGGGGGGGGGGCAGAGTGGGTGGTGGCGGTAGAGGTGCAGTAACATGGAGGACCTTTAGGGGGTGCAGTCATTCCATCTTAAAGTTAGGCTCAACTATGTCTCTAAAGTAGATGACCGAACACTCTATGCGCTTGTTTTTCTCCAGTGACCAGTGGAAAATATTGATGTTTATACCATTTCTCAGAAAATAAAGGCTTCTTAATGTTTACTTTGTAGTCAGATAATATATTAAACAATTTTACTTAGAGTAATCCTTGTTTTAGAGAGATTCAAACACTTTTGCAGAGTGTTCAGAAATTTTTCCTGAATAAATTTAAGATGAAAAAAATCTTAAATTCAATTTATTGAACCATATTATTATTATTATTATTATTATTATTATTATTATTATTAGTAGTAGTAGTAGTAGTAGTAGTAGTAGTAGTATTCACAATTATAATTTCGGGCCATGTTATATAATCATTTAGGCCTACATTCTAATCATATAATACAATACTCTGTACATAATTTTTGGTATAAAACATGATGCTCTTTTAAATACCTATATATCATAATAAATGCAACAAACTAGCAAAATAATACAAAGCGGACATTTAATTCTCTTACAATTACAAGTACTTGTTTCACATGTATTGAACAGTACAAGTGCATAGACTACTTACCATAATATTGTAGAACATGATGAGAAGATGAAGAATTGACACTAATAGTACGACAATATTTTACTACTTAGCCAATTGTAGCCAAAGCATAATGGGGATTCATATTACAACAAAGAGCACCGTAATTACCTCTTCTTTCTACGGACAGCAAATTAGACACAGTGTTGCCCAATTAACTTGAATAGATGATTAATTTTACTAATTGTATTTTATGCTTCACCAAAGTCAGCTGTATCACTATAATATCTTTCATTTTTTGCGCAGTGGGAATAAATTTTTGCCACAAGTCTGTACTGTAATATTCAGTGATTCCACTTCAGAATAGCAGAAAATATTTAGCTTGCTTCAATACGTATAAAATTACATAATTTATATGTATGCATTAATTGTAATGCACAAGACCAAAATTCATTATTATTATTATTATTATTATTATTATTATTACTATTATTATTATACCTATCAAGTGATACCTGAAGTGTCCCATTCTGATCAAATCTGCATGTTCTCTTGAAAAATCGGAAATGGGGGAAAAAAAAGCAAAACAACAACAATCAACTAAGATGTGACTGTATAAATAAAGAAACTGGAGGGTAAAGTGTAGTGCACTGCAGGGAATGTATAATTATCTGATTATGTATGTTTATTCAAACAGGAATCTCCTGAGATTAGGATGGTGGTGGCAAAATAAAGGCGTCGGGTCCAGAGAAATGAGGTACTGCCCCGGGCGTGTTCACTTCATTTAAGTTGTCCCTGGCAGGGTGTAAGCGTCAGATCCACCGGCTAGCTAAAACCCGGCTCCCTCTGTCATCATTTCCTGGCCCCTAAACCTGGCACCTAAACGTTACCCTTTTTCTTAAAAAAACAAAAAAAAAACAATGACAAACTCCTGCTTGCAAATAAAATAAAGCAAATGCCAAAATTAAGCTTTTTTTTTGTTGTTTTTATGTTCAAAAAATATATTACATATATAATAGTCATGTTCTTTTTGATCATAAAATTGTGAAACAGGCTGATTGTTGTAATTCAATAATTATTAATTTTTTCGGTCTCCTTGAAACAATTATCTACACGCATAAGCCGAAAATTAACATACAGGACATTTAAATAGCTAGGAACAAATATCTAAATAAATGTGCCTACTTAATGCTTACATTTTTTAAAATAAAACTAATTAAAATAACTCAATAAAGTCTACTCATGACATTAAATACTAGATGATTCGTTACCTCTTTCCACGGTCCAGGTTGACTCCTCACCAAATATGTATTTATTTCTATATTTGTTTGTTTGCTGTTTCTGTTTTTTTTTTGCCCTTTTGAGTGCACAACCATTCCCGCATTTATTACGGCGTGTTATTTTAAGAGTTTAAGTAGTTAAAAATTTCTCCCTGTGCCTCTTCAGTGCGGCGCTCCATCACTTTTCAGAAGGATGTGCTTAATGTGCTTCAAATACTTTGGCCTTTGATCAAGTTTAAAGAGTAGTAAAAAGGAGTGTGTAACTAATGCTGATATCCGTGGCTCTTTTTCATCCAGCTTTCTGTTCCCCCTCGAATGCGTTACCTCCACTGCAAACACAAACAGGGACAACTCCCAGTCAATGGGCTACAAATAGCTAACCAAGGTGACTCTATTGATTTCTTGACAAGGGGAGCACACTGAGAAATAACAAGTGAAAATTTAACCGCCGAGCCTCGAGTCGAGGGTGTGCTGCTGAAAATGAGGGCACTGTGGGATGTTCCACTGGACCTGCGAACAGTTGTTTCACGAGTGACTTTCAGTGAAGTCTTAAGCCGTAGCCAAAGTCAGCAGGGCTGGTAGCAAATGGCATTTTGCGTGTAAGGGGGCAGGTGTGGTTGTATCCAGCTGGAATACAGCATCAACACTCACATGAATTATGCACACAAAACATGATCGGGAAGGTAACATTGCCGTTAGAATGGTGGCTAGTGGCTTTAAAAGGGCATTTGTAACAAATTAAACGTGTTTAAAACAATCACTGAGACAAGCATCAGCAATAAACTGCGAAAACAACTAGAACAGCCTGAAAGTGAAAATAAAATAAGTACCATGAAACTCGAATTTTCCATTTATATGGCTTAAGTAATCGTTCATATTTCAGGTTTCATTTCTGGCCATGTAAAACTCTGGATCAAACAAGTTCAAGCCAAGCCTCAGCATGTGGTTTCAGCAAAACGGAAAAGTGAAATACAAACAAACACAAAAGCAATCTGATTCTCATAAACATGTTACGATTTATAAAGATATCTCACAAAGGAAAAAATAAATAAATCTGGGACTAATAATGTTGTTTCTGTAAAACCAGAAATTTTGTATTTCTGATAAATAATTTTTAAAATGTACAAAGGGTTTTGGTTTTGAGTTACTGTAACTGATAGATTTTTTTTTTGTGTAATTACAGCAGTCAGTTTTAAGAAGGAGTTGGCAGTTTTAATCAGGCTAATAGGATAAGCCTTTTTTCACACTTCCTCCTCGCTCCTGCCATTTGGAAGTATTTTCCCTCCCCGAATTGAATCTTTTGAGAACTGCGGCAGGAGTTTTAGTGGTAAGTGAATCTGCTTCACCGCCGAAAAGGGGTTACTATGTCACATCAGCGGGGGTGAAAGTGCCTCTGACAGACAGAACAACAACATTTCATGGCACAGGGGGTTATGGGGTGTTGCGTTTGTCAACCTGACTTGTGCTATAATCAATGTGTCTTCTCAAGGAGGAAAAAAAAAACAATAACAGTGTTTTTAGTGTAAAGACATTCTTTTTGGGAATTTTCAATGATAATGAAAGTAGAGTGTTATACCTATATAATGCTTAATACGCCTAGTACAAATGTGCGCAAGGACAATTCTGAGGAATTAAAAAATACCTTGGTTTCGTTTTACAGACGTTTGGCACGTTGGGAGTGCTTTTGTATGTAGCTACATGGCAGCTGACCGGGACGTCTTAAAATATCCCCTCGTCCGTTTCATTTGATGCAGTTCTCTGGCTAACTGGCAGAGCTTAAGGAGTGCTCTCCAGAATGCATCCATAGCGCATAGTGTGAGACTGAGAATGGCTTCAAAAAAGGTTTAATCCCCCCTGCGGGGGCTCTGTACGAAAGATCAGATAAGTGAGGACAGAAGCTCCTCAGATACAGCTATAGTCTTGTTGTCAAATGAGCTTTTTCACGCCGACCAGCTTCTCCTGAACCAGAGCCAACGTTTGCATATGTGTACACTGCTGCTACCTCAGCTGTAAGAGCCTTAGCTTGCGAGGGCTAGTGCAGTGTACACATGGTAGCAATTTCCAGCCTTTTATCAATTTTCTTTAATAGCTGGGTGGTGGGCGATAGTATAATTAGGTAGCTAACATCTCTTTTAGGAGTCTATTGAGCATTCTAATTACCATCAGATTAATGGGCAGGTCTGTAGCTGTTGCCTGGCCAGTTTTACTATCAGCTGTGTATCTCTTTACTTAGGAGGTAGTCAGTGTTGTTGGAGATGGGGTGTAGGGAGGTAGGAAGGGGGGGGGGGTTATGAGAGTTAGTGGGTGGGTGTTGGGGGGGGGGAGGAGGTTGTGCCTTCATCCCTTTATAAGCATTGTAAAGCATTCAAATTCACACCCTGGGGGAGCTCTTGCACTAATTCTAATTATCACCAGATTACAGAGATAATGGGCGCCCCCGCTGTTTTGAATTTAATAGTTTTTACTCTGGCCATTTTACAGCCTACTAGCTGCAGAGTTGCTGGGGAAAATGTGTGAAAGGGGAACGTAGGAAGACAGGAAGAGGGAAGAGGGGAAGAGAGGACGCCTACAGTAGACGGTATGCCCGGGCCTGTGGGCAGAGGGCGTAACTTATCATTGGTTACTGTGTTTGTTGCTTTCCGCCGGATTCGCTGTCCGCGGCACAGCTCAGCGAACTCCTTGTTCAGCAGCGACCTCTATCCTCAGTGACGGTGTCCAGCTCTATATCCTCTTGTGCAGATTTCTCTCTGACTTGCTGCTGGCCTCATTTGGTGTGGGGGGGGGAGGAGCTGAGTGGGGGTGAGAGTCGCACATCCAGGTTCTCGGCCTAGAGGGCAGCTCGGGTTTTATACCTCTGGCTGTCGTTCATCTCTGATCCAGCTGTTGCCAGGAAGGCAGATAACCGGCCTGGTTCAGCGGCGACCGGATTGCTTTCATCTAACTCTGTATCATTTTTTCTTGTCCTTAATGCTGTAATAGGCTTCTGTGTTTCTTTGTGCCACAGGTGGCATTGTTCAACATAGGTTAGCATTACATTTAAAGTAACTAATAATAATGATGAAAATAATAGTAATAATTAATTTCAACGCCACTGTGGAAACATTTTAGGTTACACTTCTTTGCATCTTATTATATATATATATTTCTATTTTCTCAGTTGACTGACGTATATATCTAGAGATAAGATATAGCAATGTCCACAGTTGTTGAAGTTCAAAATTTTGCACAGAAATGATGTGCGTGAGACTGACCCAAGCTTTCGTGTCACCATCACATTCACAATCGGTTTCATCTCTGAATTAAGTTCAAATTTAAATTCTGCCAGACGGGTGATTCTGAGGGCTGGGGAGTGATTAGCGGAGAAGCAGCTCTATCATGTTTTTGGTTCGGATTCAGTGATGAGAGCTTGAGAAATTAAGAAGCGGCACCTTGATGTCTTATTGAGATGACGGTAATGGCAAAAATGAAACAGATATGGAGGGGAGGCCAAAACTTTCCTTTCCCAAAAGAGCAGGATCTGCACTAATGACTGTTGCCAAGCAGTTACACGCTGCTCACCCAATCTGTCTGAATCCCGGTCCAAGAGACACCTACAGTTTCTTGGAAGCCAGTGGTAGCCTGTGTGATTATTTAATATTTTCCCCCTTTTTTCATCAGGAATCATGTTGAGTTCTTAAAGCTAGGTGTATGCGCTCTTTACTTTTGAACAAAAGAGACAGCTCAAAGCCTCAGGCTCATCTACGAATGCTCCCATTTAATACGCGCCTATCTGAAAGATTTCCCTTTGTCTTTGTACCCCGTGAGCAGGCTGTGTTTACAATGCAATGTTTTTATTGTTTGATTTATGTTTATAATGAACAAATTCGTCTTTTATGTGGAGTATAATTTGCTCTTTGATGTAAAATGGCTGGCATTAAGTGTTGTGCTATTTAGCATTGTCCCATTGCTTGGAGTCATTTTACACTGTAAAACACCTCAAGATAAGTCTCCATACAATTAAATGGATGACAATGAAATTGACTGCAGAGAAGCTGATATATTGCATTTCTTTGCAACACAAAACAACTTATATCATTCATATTAAGAAACGATAAATGCAGGGTTGATATAAAATTGTCAAAAAGTAAACAAACAAAAGTCATGTTTAGGATCTCAACTGAGAAATGATGACCATCATAACTCAACCTTGTCATCGTAAATAAGAAAATTGTGAAAATGTCACTTAAATACAGAATGATATATGCAGCATAAATCACAGACTATAGCAGTGTGTCAACAGATTCAGCTACTTAAGAAAATAACGCCCAACGTCAAACCTTTCTTCAATACTAGATGTAACGTATTATTAAATATAACGTTGATTTGCAACTGGACCATCTAGAGGGAAATCTCCAGCTTCTATTCACAAATGAATCTCCTTAGCTTTTGAGGCAGGCCATAAAGGTTGACATATTTACCATCGACTCCGGTGGCACTACAAGGGCAGGTTTGTGAGTTATTGCTCTATGCGCTGCAGTGAGCAGTGCTGGCTTCTGTGTCAGTGTACAAGAGGGACACCTCGTGTTCCAAAACATTTTTTTGAAAGGTGTCATCATAGTGACATGTCCAGTTCTTATTGAATCTGACAGCACATACATTACCAGCAGTTTATTCAGTAACGCTGTACATTAACTGCACTTTCATAATGCCTTTATAATGCATTCATAGAACATTCAGTGTGCCTTCATAATGCATTCATAGCAGCATGAAAGTATACCTTAACATCCTAACATACTTTACTAACTGCAATATACATTATTAACAAACATTATAATCATGTAATGTTTGTTATTAATGTATATTAAAGCTGTTAAAGTATGGTAGGTATACGTACATGTTACTTATGAACGTTTTATGAATGCATTATGAATGTGTAGTTAAAATAAAGACAAAGCATTTGTAGAATTTTGTTGATATAATATCTTACCATAAATAAACAACAAGATCTATATGTATATTTTTAGTCTCTGTTGTTTTGTAATTTCTTATGTGTTATTGAATGTTATAGTTTTTTCTAAGACTAAGATCTACAGTATAACTCTTGTTTGTATAGAGCGTTCCTTTCATCTCTGCAGTCACACACAACCTTTTCTTAGTGTCCGATCTGATAGACCACTTTCCCTGTCAGTCTTAAATAGGCTGAGGACATTCATGTATTATGTAACAGCCACTATAGGTGACAAACCAAGTGCATTAGGGGATGTGACCTGCAACTCTGTGGCCTTATTAAAAACACGGGCCATTAAAATTTATCAACTGCTACAACATATAAAACCATCTGTAGACCTGTAAAATTTATATACAGTATAGTGTAAATATGCATATATATATATATATATATATATATAT